TTTTGTAGAATTACACATGCATTAGATACTAACAAGACCAGCTACACTGAAGAATTCCTTAAAAAACATGTGCAAAGGCTTTTACAGGATCTTATTACTACATAGGGAAACTCAGCAATCCTTAATCCTTAGTGACAGAATAGCCTAAATGCAATTGCAACATACATAATAAACTGGGAGTGCTCGTCAAACCAAATCATATTTTAACAGTCACAGATTTTGTACAGTAAAGGACCCATAGCAGAATCTTTCGCTTTCTTCCCTAAAAATATTGAATTGAGGAAGAGAAAACCACTTGCAGCCAACCTTTTGGTTGTAAGAAACACACAAAGTCATCAAACATCGGTAAATGCACTGCAATTGTCACTTATCACCTTCAGTTTCTTCTAGCAAACGTAACGTAGCCTAGAAACAAAGAAACCGAAACAAAAATTAAAAAAAAAAAAAATTAAATCCTTTACTCCTGTTTGGGGTAAGCCTAGAAACAGAGGAAATAAAAATAAAAAACAAACTTGTAGGCTAATCAAACTGGGCTAGTAAAGTAAAAGCTTTGTTGTTTGCCAACGCTCTCAAAAAAATAGAGAAATATTTAACCCAATTATTCGGTTTCGCAAAACACACAAAAATACTAAGTTTTATGGTGATAACACCTCTATTTTATTAGAACACGAGACAACGGAAAACGAACGCTGTTTCAAACGATTTCCAATTCGTTTCCGAATAACGATAACAGAAAAAAAAAAAAAAAAAAAAAAAAAAAAAAAAAAAAAAAAAAAAAAAAAAAAAAAAAAAAAAAAAAAAAAAAAAAGACAGAGAACGAGATACCAGAGGAGAGGGAGAGAGAGACGTGGTATTGGGATCGAAAGAGAAAATCTCGAGCACAGAAGAAGAAGCCTTGCGGCTTCTTGACTTTCCCAACACAACAAGATTAACGTTTTCGGGTCTCCGGATCCACGACCCGCATGCCACGGTACCATGCTCCGACTCCATTTAGCCTCAATTACACAATTACAAAACAGAGAGACAGCGAGCGAGAGACTAGATTGTTTTGGCTTTTCGAGTTTCTGATAATGGAAGTGGAAAAACAGAATGATAAGAGGTAGACGAGGAAGAACTAAGAATTTTTTTTTTTTTTTTAATATAAAGAAGAGGTACAAGCAATGGAAGCATAATGTACAAGTAACCAAAAGTGGGCCCACGCGGGAATGAGAGTGAGAAATACAATGATTGCAATTTGGTTGTGACTAAAACAATGTCAACTCCTTCAACTTGTTGGATATTTCCGTGGATATTCTGCCGCTACGATACGACAATCAGAATCGCGTTTCAACAAAGAAAAATCAATTCTTGCCATAGTATGCAATTTTATAACAAAGCTAACTTTAATGGATTATTTCATGTCACATCTTGCAATTCTAATCGATTTAATTCAAGTGAGAAGGCATATATTTCTTAAATTAAGTTAGTATATAGGGCCGCAAAATAATAAATTACATAAAATAATATTAATTGTGCCATAACTTAATTAAAAATTCACAAATTCACAAAATAGGTTGAACATTTTTTTTTCTATGTTTTTTCCTTATCTATCACCTAGTTTAGGTATTGTTTGCATTTTTTAGTAAGAGTAAAAGGTGCAGTGTCTTGTTCTTGTAGAGAGTTGCTAAAATGTCTTTTAAGTACAATTTATTTTATGTGCCCTATTACTTTGGCATGAGTTCCCATTGGGTTGATCTTCTAGGCAACTCCAGACATATATAATGAGTGCTCTAAAATCAAGTTATAGGACAAATTAGTCTTATTATGGAGATAGCAGTTGCAGATATCGCCATCTTCTTATCAGTTACGGAACTTTGAGACATCATCAATCTTCCACCTCAATCTTTTATAAGGCATAATGGCCAATAATGATATTAAACCAACTTTAGATGTTTTTACAGCTAATGAGCTATCAGAAAATATGCTAGAATCCTCTGAATCTTTGATAATTAGACATTCTGGCTATTTTGAAGGTACACTTCCCCTTGAAAATTTATGCTACCAATATTGTTGTGGCTCTTTAGGTGTCTTCGAGAACTTTGGATGAACCTATAATTTCTTTAAATTGATAGATGATATTCATCATATCTACTTCAATAATATTGATGCATGCTACATGTGGAAAAAGATCTTTATCTGTTGATGTTTGCTCTTTCTCAGGGAACCTCAGGATTCCCTTGTTGATGCGATCTTGTAGAGCATTTCTGAAACTCTGATAGCCATTAGTAGTACAAGTATGGTTTCAAGAATCATGATACTTACAATATTTTTTGCCCTTCATTTCTTCCTTCCTCAGCAGCTTATGACCTATTGGAAGAGTTATGAATTTTTCCTCTAACAACAAATAAAAGATCTTCTCGTTAGAAGACTTGCTAATGGGAGATTGAATAACAAGTCCACAACATCAATTTTCTTTTTAGTGACCTTATCCATGAACATATTCATGGTTTTGCAGCAATTTGGCCACCATCTAACTATTATCCCTCTGTTCTTCCAGCATCGGCTTCACATTAGAGGAATTAAAGTTAATGACAACATCATCATAAATAGAAACCATTTTACCTAGACGTTTATCGAGGTCGTCAGTCAAGGTAATTGCAGTTTCTGTGGGATTTTAGGCAGGAAAGTTAGATCCTCTTTTAGGACTTCCAAGATCTACTTTCTCATGTCCTTCATCTGAATCTAGAGACCCGATAGCAGTTTCTTTCTCAACAACATAACGGGTTTTTCGACCCATGATGAATTCCTCTTAAAACTCAAATGAAAGATGGTTGGGGATGCACAACTACATCCCACCAGGTGTGTCATTAAAAAGTATTGGTCCGTTTAGGAGAACAAGCAAAGAGATTAAATGCGCTGAAACTTGAATTGAAAATTTTGGGCATATATGTGTAATACACCAACTGAAAAATTAAATTGTGCTTAACCTAATTTTTGGACCGTGAGTTTGATCCAAGATTATACAGATCACCAGTTGCACAATTAACATAAATTGAACAAACGAATTTGTAAAAAGTGAACTTGAATTACTTTTAATAAAATTGTAATTATAGATAAAGTAAATGAATAGTGTTTAAAAATTGAAGACATTACTTTGAAATTTAAATTGACTACTTGAAGTTGAAATTGTTTAATTTAAATTTGCTGGAGAATTTGGTTCGTGTATCTACGTTGTTTTCTTCCCCCTCTTATAATCTCCACAGGCAGTTACCAAAAGATCCACTAAAGCACATGTTTATCATTAGCTCATTTGATCTCTTATCTTCTATGCATGAATAATCGTTTGAAAAATGCTCTTATTTTACTCAATTGCAACACACTTAGAGGAATAAAACACCTTTTCACCAAATCACACATCATCTAGTGGTTCTGACTCATAAATAATCCAAGTTAAATAATAAAAACATAAGTGTCCTTACATAGTTACAAATTACCAAGAGGAATAAAGTGCTTCAAGTTATCTTAATAACTTATACATGAAAAATTAGTCATATTAATGTCTGCTCACGTGTCCTCATGTACCATATCTTGGAGGCTTCCTATTATGACACACGTTATTATGATGAGTTTATTGATTGAGTGTAATTATCACCCTAAAGAAATCATTAAATAAGTGTCTAGCATGGGATGTAGATCTCTCACGTGCACCGAAAGACGCAACAGAAGTATTGAAAGCATGTATTGTATATTAAAATAATGTTGTCTCGTCCATTTCAGGAAAAAGGAGTATGAGTTTGTTGGATTGCTATCATAGGAGTGTAATGAGTGTTCGATGAGATTTCTAATGTTGCAGATGGTACAGTCCGTTCAGGTTATGGTACAGAAGATGATGTGTTGGGCATATTAGTGCGATAATCTTTGTAATAGTTATATGTCATAGGGGGAGAGATTTGAGGTATATCATCTATTGGCGGAGCTTCAACTGGAATACGTCTAGATGCTATTTCACGTCTCCTTCGCCTTTATAGTTCTTTTGGTGCTTGACCACGAGAAAACTCTATAGATGAAGGGGTTGAAGCGTAGGATAGGTTTTGATATGAATTTCTTTGATCATTACATTATACAGTAAACAATTTTCGTCGAAATGATTGAGTTCTACGAATTGATGATGTTGAACAATGATATATATGTTGAAGTCCATCTGCCTGTATTAAAGAAAAATATTATGAAAATAAAAGCAAAATTTATTATTCAATTAGATTAAAAGTTTATAAGAAAAGATAAAAAGATATCAGTCAATTCCACAACTCCAACTTCTGCATCTCAAAATGAAATTCAACATATGATTCCTTGTACATATCATTGCATATATTCTGAGTCAGAGCTTAAATGTGCTTCGAGTGAATAAAATAAAACCTTAAAAGAGAGACAATTGTTGTACGCTTGAAAAATTTATGCTCCAAATCCACCGCGCACAAGGCTTGTATGTTGTCATGGTTTGTTCAAATAAAAACTACATAGCTGGTGTGTGTGTTTTAATGAAAAAAAACTTAAGAGTAAATAAATTTTTTTTATTAAAACTATTAATTAATCCAATGGATTTTTAATAAAATACTGTTATCTCGTGTATTTTTTTGTTGACAAATAAATTGTGTCTCGGAACCAGCTGAATGATCTCAGTACAAGATAAAAATCAATATTTATTTATGTAATTACTTTTTGGTGTGTGTGGCTTTTTCAACTGCGCTGAATTGACAGTTTCAGTACAACTCTCTCTCCATTGCATGACATGTCATGACAATTAGTTTTGATTTGGCGTTGGCTGAGAAGTACTCTTTTTAAAGAAAATTATTTTTGTCAAAAAAAAAAAAAAAAACCCTTTTTTGGCGTTGGCTGAGAAGTACTCTTTTTAAAGAAAATTATTTTTGTCAAAAAAAAAAAAAAAAAAACCCTTTCATGTTATTATACCATACACAAGAAAAACATTGAACTACTCTTAAAAAAAAAAAAAAAAAACCCTTTCATGTTATTATACCATACACAAGAAAACATTGAACTACTCTTGTCTGCTTACAGTAATGAGTCTCTTATCGTTTACTCCTACCCTCCCTTGCCTCCTGCTCCACCACCAACTGAACAGATCCGCCACCGTCTTCTCTCTCCTCTCCTCCTCTCCTTTCTCTTCTCATTGCCTTTATTCGAAGCCACCTCCTAGTTTACCCTTCCACAATCTCTATCACATTCGTCGTGCAACCACCTCTCGCAACTCTTCTCCTTTTTCCCGTCCTCGCTTTGCTGCCGCCGCGGTCCCTGGAGGAGCTCTGCTTCAAGACGCCGGAGCCACGGTAGCTGTTCTCGCCGGCGCTTATGTTCTAGTTCTCGTTTTCGACACTCTTACTCAGCGAAAGCTCATCCAGCAGGCACTGTATCTATCGAGTGTATATCATGATTATTTTTTCTACCAATTAGAATTTGTTTGGGCAGCTTTTTTGAAAATTTTACATTTGGTTTTCTAATTGGAACAGAATTTGAGCAGAAAATTGGTTCATATATTATCTGGTTTGCTTTTTGCCGTTTCTTGGCCAATTTTCAGGTATGAATGTTTATTTCTCTTTTCAAATTTTCGAAAATATGCCATACTTGATATTTCCCCCTTATGCTCGTTTGATCCTAGAATAGCACCTCAACAGAGGCTCGCTACTTTGCAACTTTAGTGCCTCTTGTCAATGGCTTAAGGCTTGTAATCCATGGCCTCTCATTGGCAACCAATGATGGGCTCATAAAGTCTGTTACTAGAGAAGGAAAACCAGAGTAAGTTTTTTTTGTTCCCCTTATCTATCACCTGGTTTAGGCATTGTTTGCATTTTTGGTAGGAGTAAAAGCTGCAGTGTTTTGTTCTTGCAGGGAGTTGCTAAAGGGTCCTTTATATTATGTGCTTATGTTGATTTTATGTGCTCTAGTGTTTTGGCGTGAGTCTCCTATTGGGTTGATCTCATTGGCAATGATGTGTGGTGGTGATGGTAAATACTATTGCTAAAACTCAAAACCCATATTATGTCTTTTTGTTTCTAAATAATGGTTCACCAGTGGGTCTTTAGGTGTGGCTGATATAATGGGAAGAAGATTTGGGTCAATGAAACTTCCTTATAATCAACAGAAGAGTTGGGTGGGTAGCATATCTATGTTCATTTCCGGATTCTTGATTTCTATGGGGTATGTTTTCAGCTCAAACCTCTATTGCCATTACTGATAGAATTTTTGGTGCTGTATATTGATATTAACATGGATATAATGTTATTTTTAAACATAGGATGCTATACTACTATTCAGCATTGGGATATTTTGACTTTGATTGGATATGGACAATGAAAAGAGTTGCTTTGATTGCTTTAGTGGCAACAATAGTGGAGTCTCTTCCTACTACAGAGACCATAGATGACAATATATCTGTTCCTTTAACAAGCATCTTGGCAGCATATCTAAGCTTTGGTTTCTAGCTTGCGGTGCATAATACCAATTGTTATGTTTTAGATTTACTCTTTTAATGGTGTAGTTCTATTTTGATGATTCTAGCTAATATTTTATTGCTATAAATTGGTAGAATGTTATGAAAGCTGAAATTTAATATCAGGTAATGCTAATTACATTATGTATTCCATGCTATTTTACCTAATGGAATGTTCATAAAATACGATAATACATGTAATCTTTGATTACTTGCTATATTATCATTCCTTACATTTGATTATATCACTCTTGCCTCTCCCCCAAAAAAATAAATAAATAAATGTTGAAATGTAAGTGTTACAGCATATTTTTTATCATTACTTTCTCCTTTACAGGTTCCGACATGCGTTCCCAGGATAAGTACTCAACCTTCTTTGATTTTAAGTTCTTAGGTTTCACTGCCTTTTATTCCAACTACTCGTTTACTTATATTTAAAAAAATCCATCCCAATTTTTTACATTTTGCTATATTAGTGGCATTCTGTGTTTTCTGGTTCCATCCATATGAGTTTCTTGCAAATTATTTAGAATAACTGATGCTTCCATGGACCATAGCCATCCACTTGATAAATTAAAAGCTGCATCGATTTTGACCTTTTTATGTTTTTCATACTCATTGGGCATTGGATTTAAGTAATTTCTCCATGCTACTTATCTTACCTGTGCTAAAAGTAGTTTGTAAACGACCTTAATCACCATAAGGATGAGAATACAAATTCAATTTTCAGTAAGTGCACTTCGCTGAGAGGGCAAAAAACATTTACGCTCTATGGCCAGAGAGGATTACATCTCCTAATTATACCCAAAAAAAAAAAAAGAAGTTTGTAACTTTTTAGGATCCTTGTTATCATATGAGTTACTTCTGTTGAATTTGAGCAATTTTTCCGATCTTTCAGATGAATGATATTAGTAAACAATACGTTATTGCACCTTGGCAAGAAAAAAAAAACATGAAATTGTTTACAGCCTTGTCCTTTAATGCGTTGGGTTGAAACTTGAAACCAGGGAGTGGCATTTTCCAGTAAGTTTAGTCATTTGGATACCTTTGTGGAATACAGGTGAATAATGGAAACAGGGTAGGGATAGTCC